GAAATGGATGGGCCGCTGTTCCCAGGCCGAGCACCCTCCGGGAGCAAAGCTCCCTGAGCCCGCACATCGAACCTCCCAGCAGCTGGCTGCCGATCGGGAACCCCCGTGAGTCACCCCTGCACCCCTGCACCATGTTCCTGACCCAGGCCAGAAAGGCCATGGACCGTTGGTGGCCCCCCAGAAAGGGGAGCAGCTTGGGTGCGCTCTGCCCCAGAGCCGCAAGAGCCAGAAGAGCAAAGCACAGTGCGGCCTGGCTCTGCCCCAAGCAGGGGGACGCAGCCCCAGGGACCCTGCCGGACACTGGGGGCCAGGACTGCTACATGCAAGGGTGACCCAAAAAGATGGCGAATGTTTAAACAAAGAAATCTTCTGCTAGTAAAAGCCACAGTGCCAAGAATGATGGTAGGGCCGGGGGTGTAGCTCAGCGGAGCCGCACCTGCCTGGCAAGCGCAAGGCCCCAAGTTGGATCCCTGGTACCAAAGAAAAGGTGGGAGGGATTTAAGAACACGGGAGAAGGTGTGGTCTGAGAGAAGAGCAGCCGTCCGAGTATCTGGGGGTCTGACGCAATAGGTCTTAGTGAAATACCTTTTTTCTTTTTTGGGTGGGTAGCAAGGATGGAACTCAGGTCCTTGCGTTTGCGAGGTAGGCGGTGGAACCACTGAGCTAAAACCCAGCCCTGTAATACATTTTTAAAATTTAAACATTCCGAACATTTTTGATCACCGAGCACTGAACAACTGGCTGCGGCCATTTCTGTCAAATGTTAAACACAACTCTGGGTCCTCAGCCACCGCATTCACCAGATCGGGCACCGTGTGGCTCCCGGCTCTTCTCGAGTCACAATGACCACGAAGGAAACGTTCTGAATCCACTCGGGACCCCCAGACAGGTGTAACAGCACAACTAAAGACACTCAGCAAGGAGGGCTCCAGAGCTGCTGCGGGAAGGGGCCGGGAATGGGAGGAGGGTGTTGGGAGCAGAGAGAATTTTGAGGGGATTCATGGCATTGTGTGTTTTGCTGTAACAAATTTTTAAAAACGTACGCATTCACCACGCCTGTGGATTGCACCTTGTATGAGGCTCTGGAGGTGGGCAGCCTGGAGAGGGAGGGGACAGAGGGAAAAGCAAGGAACCCCGGGGAACAAAGCAAGCCCATCCGGGCCCTGATCAGCGTGCCCACCTCTGCCTGCCTCCCTGGGAGGGCTGTGGGACTAGGGGCGTGCAGCTTCTGGGACCTCACTCAGCCCGCTCTGTGTCCAGCTGCAGGTCCCGCCTGAGCTGCTGCCGCCCTTTGAATGTGACCACACCCGGGAGGTCGCCTGGCCAAGGTGTGGGAGCCAGGAACTAACTGGGTCCTGCTCACGGTGGCTTAGGGCCACAAGCTGGGGCTGAGAACTGCACGTCTCGGGGACTGGCACTATGGAGAGGGTGCCTCCTGCCGGAGCTGAGGACAGAAAGCCGTGCCTCGGTGGAGAGGGCACAGGGACAAGGAGCGAGGCCCAGCCCGGGCCCTCACACACAGCCGGGTGTGCAGGGAATGTAGGTAGGGGAAACTCAACCTCGAGACGGCTCCCCGTGAAGCCTGGGTGTCCCAGAGAGGGAGAGGCCGCTGTCTCCAGCCAGCGCCAGACCGTGCGCTGCGTAAACGCCAGCTGACCTGAGAGCTGAGCCGGTCCTGGAAGCACTGGACACTGAGTCTGATACAAAACATTTTATTAGCAGTGTTCACTTCTGAAGCGTACCTAAGCCCCTACTCATCCATTCTGCACCTCCTGCTGGCCCCCTGGGCTCTGCTTTACTTTCTGTCCCATTCCCACTGAGCCGGCTGTGACGAGAGGCCCCGTGGGTTTCATCCACCCCGGTTCCATGGGCAGCACAGACAGGAAATGAGAGGAGGCGCTCTCTCCTCAGAGAGGAGGGCGGTGAGACCGAGGCCGGCACGCCACTGTGGCAGAGGGACCCCACCCAGCAACACCCCAGTGCGGGCCTGCACACACTGAAAGGCACCTGTGCACGTGTGTGCAAAAGCACACACACACATGCACAGCCAAAGCTGGCCGTGTTGCTGTGCTGGGAAGCAGAGAGCAGGCAGGGGCAGGAGACCAGGCAGGGGCAGGACGGCCTCTCTGTGGCAGGGCAGGGGGTGACCGCCCCAGTGGACCTTTCCTGCGTGGAACCCACACCCTCCCTCCTAGCTCCACCTGCACCTGCTGGTGACTGAACTGGGAACTCAAGACTTCCGCGCCCTCCGTCCTGACTGCTGCGTGGCTCCTTGCCTCAGTGCCCTGCACCTGCCAGGGGAGGACAGCCGAGCAGCCGGGTACTGGGGGTGCCTGGAGCCCCCACCTGTGCCAGGTCGGAGGTGGAGTGGTGCAGGGAGCCTGCTTCTGCTCCACGCCCGGGCTGGGGGGGCACCCTTTGGGGGGGCTTCTGGATGAGCTCTGGCCTAGAAGCTCCGAGTTCCATTTCCTGGTCCTGAAGGGGCCCCCCAAGGTGAAGGAATCGGATTCGGGGCCCGGCTCCTCACCCCAGAAACCTCCTGGAGCTTAAGTCTCTCCGTGGCATTGGGCACAGTAGGAGCGATGAGGCAGGGTAACGCCTGGCATGGGAGCGAAGAGGAGGCTCCCTTCCGGACAGGAGCCCGTGCACCCGCTTTCTCCTTTTCTCCCTCAACAGGTTTCCTTGAAGTGCACTCCCTGGACTGCAGTCCCCTCTACTGACACTGGGGGGCGTATGGCCACACAGCTTTCCTGCTTCCTTACAGTGGAGGAGAAAGGAACAGCTGGGCCTTTGCACTCCTGTAGAAACCGACCCCATGTCGCCCCGCTCCACAACAGGCCTTTTGGGGAAGCCTGGCCAGATCCTTCTTCCCACAGGGTAAGAATCAGGGCTCTCAGTGGAGCGTGGAGTCCTAGGGCAAGGTTTCCTCGCAGGCCGAGGTACCCATGGAGACCAGATGCGTGCGTGGGGGGACTGCGCTGTTTCTGACATGGATGTGAGGGGACGCTGTCTTTGGGGTGGCACTGTGGCTGCACAGGGCACAGCACCCAGGGGGCCATGTCCTTCTTGGGGTCACAGACCACGGCCCCACAACAGCAAACCGCACAGGAAAGGCTGGGGGACAGGCTTCTCCCAGTAGCCACCTTAATCAGGGACTTGTCTTTGCTCTCTCTGTGCATTTCTCTAGCCACTGCTACGCAGGCCTTCCACATGCATCCGTGATCACGCTTGAAATTAAATCAAGACTTTATTTATAAAGGCTAAGTGGGACCCTGGTTAAAAACTGAATCTAAGGCAACCCTCTATTTGTACAGAACAAGCAAGCTTAATGGTATATCTTAATATAGATCTCATCTGTTTGCTAAAAAGAAAGATCTAGGCATGAAAAAAAAAAAAAAGAAATCTCTAAGCATTTTTAAGCCAGATCCACAGATAGGCAAC